CTTCACGGTTCGGCGCACAAACAGTGGCTACCTCCAGATTAGCCGACTGAGCTAAGCGCTCTCAATTGCACATTTTGCAATTCACTGAACTCAAATGACTGTTTTTCTTAGGATTTACGTTTTTTAATCACATTTTCAGGTATCAGATAATGATGAGATGCTGGGATGTCGACCCTTCACGAAGACCGACTTTCAATGATTTGCTTTATGAGCTTAAAGGACAAGTAGGCCTACATAGCAGTTCCATGATACCTGGTGAAAATGGCAACGTAATTTGTTCACATGTTATTTACAAGTGGGGAATGGTACATGGAGTGAGAATTTGCAGAAGTGTTTTTATAATAATGTCTCATAGAATGTAGGCAACTCTTTAAAACATTCAGATAATGTGTGTTCTTTAGCTACATGCATGGTGTGAGATATGATTTTCGACTAACCAAATGCCACTTTTGCTTGTGTCTTTGGTTAAGACACTTTGTTTTAAATAACTCATCCTTTGGATGGGCCTTTATGCCGTTGCTATTTTACGATTACAATCTCCTATTCGAAAATAGTAGAGATAGGGTATGAACAGACCAGGGTAGGAAATGTACCGTACTGTGGCTAAACTCGTTTCCGCAGTGTCATTCGAATTTTCGAGTAGAATTTCATAAAGGAATATTACGGTATTATATATACATTTTACATTCACTTTTTACTTGTTATATGTTGGAATATTCAACTAGTTTGAATATAATATTGTAAATTGAATTGTTACTATACGTACTTGCTCCACCAGCGACCACAAGTACGTCGCACAGTGTTTATTATTGTGGTTTAGTAAAAATGAATTCAATTTACAATACTTGTGTTTGTAGAAGTTCGTACAGCTGAACTGTTTTGTAGTTTTTGCTTTGTTTCATCATGCCGTTAGAATACTGTATATACTAAATGCCATTATTAATAATAATAGGCTAATCTTTGCAAACTTTATAAACCTAAGAGATCACATGGATTGACAGATACCGGTACATCAGGGTCATCATTTGCTGGTGTTGAATTCATCAGAGAACCGGGTAGTGAAGAGAGTGGGACAGGCGGAAAGGAAAAGGCAAGTATCAATGCTACAATATAAAATAAGGATAGATATAATAATAATAATATAATATGTCGTTCTTATATAGCGCTTCATGCCTTTACGAGACCTCTAAGCGCTTCACATTACTACCCCGGTCATTGGATCAAACACATATGCAACACATTGAAACACCAAATTAAATTATATTATCATTCTATAAATTGCAGCTAGTAATCAGCACAGGTTGTGTTGGAACCTACCAGGTACCCACTTGTACTCCTGGGTGGAGAGAGGCAACCGTGAAATAAAGTGCCTTGCCCAAGGACACAAGCGATTTGCACAGCCAGAGTTTCGAACCCCCGACCTCAAGGTTGGGAGTCCAAGCCACAACCGGTGCGCCAACTGTAGATGTTATCGACTAGCCATTATCTTTCAAATGCGTTGCCGTTTAAAAGGCTATCTCACCTGCCTAAAGTAAAGTTAATTAACCTCATCTGACCGATTGTTTTTCATTTAACTATTTTCATGTTACGCTTTTCAAAACGGTCCCGTAAAATGTTTCTTAATTGCTATTAGCTGCATGCAAGATGAGATATAATGATTTTCGACTAACGCAATGCCGTACTTCCTTATATCTTTGGTTAAGACACTTAGTTTTAAATACTTCGTCTTTTGAATGGGACGTCGTATGCCATTGCCCTTGTACGAAGGTTCACTGTTCGAAAAGGGTGGGGGAAACTGTCCCCTTGCGTAAGTAACTGACCAGAGGGCGCACCTAATCCGCAGTTCCTTGTTGAGTTTCACAAGGTATACTTATACTATATATGCATTTACTTTTACAGTCCTTTTTATGGTTTTCATTTCTGATCATTATTGCCGTTAAAATCATATATACGAAATACTATTATTAATATGATAGGCTAATCTTTGCGAACTTTAGAAACCCGAAGGACCTCATGCATTGACAGACACATCTGGGTCATCATTATTTGATGGTATTGAATTCATCAGAGAACCAGATAGTGAAGAAAGTGGGACAGGCGGTAAGGAAAAGGCAAGTATCAATGCTACGCTACCATACAAAACAAGGATGATAAACATCCTTTATCTTGCAAATGTTATGTAATCATCGACCAACCGTTTAATTAATTAATTCCTTTTAGGTGACACGTGAGCACTGTTCACCAGACGGGAATTTGAGACATCGGAACAGCTACGTGAACTACGCCTTTGAAGACTCAGTACCCATTGACGATTTTGAACTTAGTGGTAGAAGGATTGTTGCAGACAGTACTTCAAATGAAGTAAATTTATTTTCTCCTTTCTTAAACCAACTCTCTTTTACGTCATGGTGGAAGCTTCGAAGCCCAGTGCACAATTTGCCTAACGACAGTCTTTCGAAGCATATATGCCTGCGATGGTGCACTTCTCGGTCGCTGTTCGCTGATCCAGTGGCAGGTTCAGTGGATCATCATTGAATAATCTGTTATACTACGCTAAGTCGCGTGGCGTTTATTTGCTGTCGCGTCAGTCGCCGCCGACGCAATGTTCGCCGGGTTGTTTATAGTACATACATTGGTATTTCAGAGTTAATTAAATAATGTCGGTATCAATTATATACAAAATATTGAATACTAGAACAAAAATGATATACATAACATCAACGTTTCAGATGGAAGAGAATGCTGACAGTCTACAACTATCAACAGGAAGGCCTAACAGCAATGCTGTTCATGAGGACTTTGGATTTAGTGCCTTCGATAAAGAGAAAACAACTGGATCGTCGTCGACAACAACGACTGGAGAATACTTCATATCTGGCGAGTTCATTCGGGAAACGGAAGATAGTGGTTTAACGAATGAGTCATACGAGGTAGGCCTGTGTTTGCCATATATCCAATCAATCAATGAATGGATCAATCGATCGATCAATCCAATCAATCAATCAGTTTGTCAATCAATCAATCAATCAATTCGTCAATCAATCAGTTCGTCAATCGATCAATTAATCAATCAATCAATCAATTAAGCAAACAAATCAATCAATAAATCAATAAATCATTGAATCAATAAATCGTAAATATTATAAAAATGCTGGAATATAACGCGTAAAGATTAGTCAAATTGGTTAGCTAGCAAAGAGAACAATAGCAGTTCCAACATATATAGGGATTGAAAAATGAATTTAAACTATGTTGAAATATAATACAAATATTTAATCAACCAATCATACAGCATGCTGGGCATTAGATATTGATACTGTTCTCCACCATGGCCTTGCATTAGATAAAGTGTACAACACTACTAGCTTGATTACGATGTACCTGTTACAAAGATACTTGTAATTCAAACTGTATTTATATTTTTGTAATTTAGTTAAACGCACCTATCTTGCATCAATTAATCATTAAATCTATGGAGCCTAGGCTTATATTCTATTTTATAAATTTAAGTTTGTGAATATTTGGTGGAATACCAAGTCAAAATTATCATATCTTTAATCTTATAGGAGCAAAGCATATGACGATGGTTAAAAAGAACAATTATATGGTATGGAACCAGTAACAGTTGGCCTTAGCTGTCACATGAACATAGATGAAACCAGTGTAGCAGCAGTGCAGGCCTATCGTGAATTTGCATTGGCTCTGTGGAATTCATACTGCAAGATGTCGTCACAAGTGCGCATTGGTCCAGGCTTTTCCAATTTTACATCAAGGCAAACTATTGAGTAACCAGAGTCATTGTGATAAATACCTGGACGTATCGTATCAAAATAATACTGCCTACGCAATAGCAAAATAGAAAATGCCAATGTACTTGTTGTATGCTTTCTCAGGCCTAGAGTATACTTACAAAAATATATTTATTAAAGCAACATTGTAATTGGATTATTTTTGTTCAAGTGATATAAAGATATTATTTGACTGTTATTTACTTGAAGTGGATATTTTTTTCTCATTAAAGTTTTAATTGTAAATTTTAGTTAGGCCTATACTTTCGCATTCACAATCAACATAACGATTTATTACATTTTAAAAATCGTATTATAAATAAGTATAAAAGAAAATTGAAATTGTCGGACCTACCAGATGTCGCGGGCATGAGCGCCACCAAGCAAATTAAGTAATTTATGATAATTTGAAAAAACAAAAGTATTAAAAGTCCATGTATAAATATATATAGTCCATGGCAAAGTACAAATATCCATCTTGAAATATATTACAAAATCCATTTTCCTTTTTTGTATGAGCAAATTAATTAACATAAATACCATTTTGTTTGTTTTAATATCTACACATAGGCCTATAAGAAATATGGAGTCTGTCTTGTGGTAATGTTTAACGAATATATATGTAGGCCTATATGTATATATATATATATATATATATATATATATATATATAGGCCCTATAAGGTTCGCTCCACTATGTGTGAACCCTCAAGGTTGTATAAAGGGAGAGACTTCTATATGTAGTGGTCTTAGTTCTGTAATAATGCCAACAGGTCTCTGTTGTCTAAATGACGCTCGCCGAGATAGCGAGAGATTGTGGGTTTGATTCCCACCAGAGACCCTTTTTCGAACTTTTTGATGAACTTTCATTGACACGATTTATAACATCATGTTCCCATATATTTTAGCACTGTATTAATATCTGTTTTCTGTACTTTCGGTGCAGACGTCTTGATGAACTGGGCCACTAAGGCTTTTGTTTGAATTTCGCTCCACTATGTGTGAACCCTCAAGGTTGTATAAAGGGAGAGACTTCTATATGTAGTGGTCTTAGTTCTGTAATAATGCCTAGAGGTCTCTGTTGTCTAAATGGCGCTCGCAGATGTGTATAAGAGACAGATGCCGTACTTCCTTATATCCATATATTTTAGCACTGTGTTAATATCTGTTTTCTGTACTTTCGGTGCAGACGTCTTGATGAACAGGGTTAGTTACGTAATCTTGTAGATAAGGCTGCCGAGAAGAATACAGTTTTGTTTTTGTTATTTGTTGCATGCACCAAAAGATGTCGAACTGCACTATCAGAAGATCACTGAGAATAAAGTTGAAGTTATTGAGGCAGGGGATTTCCCCATATTGAAAACCTCTTGCGAAAACATAATCAAAGGCCAGGCTCAAGGTTAAACCTAAACGGTAGAAGAATCACAAAAGTATATTGATTACAAAAATAGCTTATTTTAATACGTCATACATTGTTACTCAATTCAACCATGAAGGTAAGCTGTATATACCACATAATGATCGGTGATAGTGGTTCAACTTGCGTTTAACTTTTAAATCCGGCCCACACCCACCTGAATACAACACTTAGGCTATCAGTGGCGTGTTGTTTACAGTATTATTTTTATAATCTAAAATCATGTATCGATGGTAAAGGAAGTTGCGATCCGCCTACGAACTCGCGTGTTCTTTGTCCTGATCTGGACAGTCGAAAGCATTCAGTGGTATATCCGGCTACAAAAAGTAATAGTAATGGCGGGTAAGTTGTATATTTCTTTGATAGTCAATTCCTTTGAAACATGTCATAGAATGTTCACACATAGTCAACAGTTTGTTCACGCTGTGTCCACCAAACACACTGTTAGGCTACTAGTGTCCACTCTGTATGCCTACGCCTCCGCCAATTCCGCCAACCGGAGACCTAGAGATCTCCACGGATTAGCGCACACACAGTGGCTACCACCAAATTAGCCGATTGAGTTAGCTGCTCTCTCAGTTTCGGCTGTAAGATCAACATTAATGATAGGGGGATCAGATACATTTATAAATCCATTATGTATAATGTCTTTAATATAATTTAATATGTTATTGTGACGCCAGGTGTACGTCCCTGTTCTAAAAATATTTTGCATTAATTTAGAATGTGCATGATTTAATGTCTCTGTATTTCAAACGATGACTTTTCCCATCGTTTTAGATTATCCTTTGTTGCTAACGTATCCCCTAAGGAATTAACTAAAATAATTCATAATACTGTACCAAGAGGAAGAATGTAGATAATGCTCTTCCAGTGTGGAGACAGGACTCCTCCAAGAAGTCAATTAAAAGAAGCGGCCTTGAACTACGCACTAGAGTTTCCTTTGCTTTATTTTTGATTTCCTTGGAGGAGGCCTGCGGATCAAGTTGATCAGTAACTAAAAGAAGAACGTTATCAAAATCATTATCAATAGATTTTTTGTGAGTCCATGAATGTTCTCTGGCTAGTCTATGCATTTGTTTACAGGTGCTTCTCCCCCTTTTGACCTTTGTGAGATATGTGCCATTAGACGACATTATTTATATAAACTTGTTATAGTTGGAATATCGAGCTGTGTAAAAAGGCTAACGTAGGCCTACATGGATGAAGTATTCGGAACCATTTCTTAAGATAACGGTTCGTAAGAACATCCAGTTTACTAAGTTGGGTGACAGTAGTATCATTTACTGTTAAGTGGAAACACAATGAAGGAAGTAAATATTGGGTATAAATACGAGCCATATATATATATAAAACATGTCTTATATTGTTATAACCCTGTTTAGGTGATGAGATACTATCCAGCGCTTTGACGTATTTCTTTGCTAACCTTCTACTTATTCCGCCTGTTCTGACTGCATCCCTGTGTTGCTATAAAGGTACCGTAAGTGATATTATTATCAGTGAGGCGTAAGCATAATGATTTAACAGGCTATGCTTAAGTTTTTTATTCACTTTTTTTATTAGTCTTGTTTAGGAATGGTACCCCAGATCAGTGATAATACTGCTTTCCACTGGGGCCCTCCAATCATCAAAATACATGAAACCAAAACTTAAACAATAATACAAAAATACACACACACA